TCGCTCCACATAGACATAAACAGACGGCCCGGATCGAAGAGGAGATGAGTATTTAAACTCCTATTCGCAGGAGAACCTAACCCTAGTCGTCTAGGCCTCACCAAAGAAGAAGAACCAGATGTTAGAGAAGGAGGGCGACCCCCAGCCACCACCGCACTAGAACCACCACCGACCACCAAAAAAAGTAAAATTTTCTTCTCTCAACTCGAAATTCAATTTTGAATCTCCTTGTGGTCATATCGGAGAAAATGGACGACGGGTGAGCTGGAAATCGTGGGCAAAGCCCAGCAGAGCCGTCACGGCCAAAATCCTAAATCCTCTCCGATGACCCACTTCCTAATTTTCGTTTTATACGATTCTTTGACCATCATATTCACCGTCTCTTTTTGGTGCATGTTAGCCAAAGAAGAATCCCAACCACGAAGGAGGATATTTATTTACTTGTCTTAATCATTTATTCTTTTTTTTTTTACGAAAAACTGTAGAAGATACATTTTTATAGTTCTGTTAGGCGTTCTAATTTACTGTGTAAGAAATATAAACTCTAATATTATTATTTGGTTTCGAATTTAAAATACAAATTCATGTCCTTTAAGTTCCGGACCTTTATAATTATTGCTACCCAAATTTGGTTTCTTCTTTATTTTTGTTCCTTTTTCCATCTGGGTTCGGATTGTGAATTCAAAAAGGAAACAAGTAATAATGGATTATGATGTAGTTCAAGCTTCTAAAGTTTTTATCCTTTCCTTCTAAATTAATTATTGTTTTCTCAATTTCTTTCTCTAAAAAAAAAAAAAAAAAGGTTGACCAAGACCAGATGTATTCCAACTATTAACGAAATGCCCTTTTGTTGAATTTGAATATTTTCTAAAGTAATAATAACAACAATTGAATAATTTAATTCAGAATGTCCCAACAAAAATCTCTCATCATCAGAAAAAGAAAAATGTAGTTAACATCATGTGGATCAACATTTCATCTTTATTTTGAAGTAGCACATACCGATTTTTGTAAACTTATTTTGAATTTATCGTTATTTTGTAATATATACGTATATCTAAATAATTATCTATGTAAAACATTATACAACAATAATAAAGTTATGTTTATAGATATACACTATTGACCTCAATACTTTATAAAAATTATAAAATAAAATAATTATTTAAATATTTAATTTCCAAATACATGCACCAAATAAGTTAAACTCATAATTCAAATATATAATAAGAACAAAGGTAAATGTTTACTTCTCTATAAATATTTCTTAGGTATACAAATATATTTTTAGGTAATTCTAAGTATCTGCATATTTAATTTATTTTAAGGCACTTGAGAATTACTAATCTAACTATTGTGGTATTTCAAGTACCCACGTCATTTTTAGCATTTGAATATTAGATTGTGCTTCTTCTGTGCATTTCAAATTCTTGAATATGTTTTTGAACACTTGAAATGATAAATGTCAAAGGTGTGATGTAATAATTAGATTGTGCATTTTAAATTTAAATTATTATGCTTTTCATTTTTAAACATTCAAAAAGCAAAGTCAAGTCAACATGATTGTAAGAAAATGGCATATTCAGTCAGGATTCATGCATAGATTGACTAATAAACAAATTTGACTAAATCACTTGTTCTTTGCCCAGACCCAATTTACCTTTTTGATGGTACAAAATTTGTGAAGAGTAATATAACTGTACGTGCATACACATACGAAAGAAGTTTAATTCAAAAGTTCCAATCTATTGGTAACTTTTTACCATCATCGGTTTTATGAAACTGGAGGTTCAAAGTGTTTAGTAACTTCATATGTAAAGATGGTTACTGATGTTTTATTTATGAAATTAAAAATATATATATATATATATATATATATTTTATACTTCAGAATTATACATACTGTTTGTTCATTTTACAGCCCTATTAGTTTTCCATATATATATATATATTAATATGAACATCCCTCCACAAAACCTAGATTAATCATGAGAAATGTTCATAGAGCAGGCGACTTAAGAAATCAGGTGGCTCAAGGCCAACTAAAGTTAATAATGTATGCTAACTGGGGAGGGTGTAAGGAAGCTTTTGAACCACCTAACAGAGTGTTTGGGTAATCTCTTGAGATTTTCCTTGTAATCTACAAAATACAAACCGAATCTTGAAGTGTATCCAACTTCCCACTCCCAATTGTCCAGTAATGACCATGCAAAATACCCTTTCACATTGCACCCATCCTCTCTGCAATTGAAATAATATCATTTTAACTTCATTACTTCCATTTAATAAACATAAACACAGTTAATTTTATATTTACTTGATAGCAGCTAGTAAGTTGGTTAGATAATCACTGTGGTATTTGATTCTTTTTTCATCCTTCAAGGCCTCCTCGATGGAGATCAGCGGATCATTTGGGTCATCCATCCCTACAATCACAACCACAACAACAAAGAAGTCTTAGATAATTTTTGAGTACTGAATTTTTATTAATCAAATCAATTCTTTAAGAAAAATAAAAATACTTAAATTCTTTACTTAGTTTAATTATTGAGATTTCAAAAATTACCATTCTCGGTAATAATGACTAAAGGGTTTCTATACTTTTGCTTGATGTAGTTCATAAGACTTCTCATTCCGCGAGGTACTATGTATAGCCATATAGAATTTGCCTGACATACATTTAACAGCAAATTAAATAAAGAAATATGGATGTCTCATAACTTAAAACTGTGTTTTCAATAAAAGTCACAGCAAATGTTATATATAGAGATTACTAGTACTGCATACTTTATCTCCAATAACTCTCCCATCTTCTGAAATTGCTGAAAATATATATACGAACATGGTAAGCTAATGAATGTATCAAATTTAAACAGATAATAGAAGATTAGTTAATTTTGTGGCAAAAAAAAAAGAAATTAGAATTTACGAAGAGTAATGGCATTAGAATCTCCAATAGCATCATTAAGAGAAGGACCACTTCTTGCAAAGAATGTAGTGTAGTGATTAATGCCAACAAAGTCCAAAGATCCCTTCACAATATCAGCCTGGTACTTGGAAAATGTTGGTAGCCTTTTTCCTACTCTGCTTCTCATTGATCTTGGATAATCTCCAAACATCAATGGTTCGAGAAACCTGAAAAGTTCAATATAATATATATATATATTTGTTTAAATATTTTACTAATTAAACCACTTCCGCCTCCCTAAAGCAATTAAAGCTAAGAGAATAGAAAGATCATTATTTACTTATTTATCAAAGTGTAGTTTAATTACCAGCCAAGCTGAAAATCTTGGGCTCTTTCAGCTGCTTCAATATATTCTGTACTATTTTTCTCTGGTTCAAACCACATAGCATCTAATGATATCCCAATCCATCCCTCCTGTTTTGCCTGCACATCACCTGTAATTCTTAACATCTACCGTATGAATTAAAACAACCATTGGGACAAGTCTTTAAGATTTATTTTGAATCCATACCTTCGACCAAATGGGTAAAATCACTCATCATCTAACCAACAAATAGTTATATTCTGCATGTTCTATAAAAAATATTACAATATATGTTCATTTTACGATAGTAGGACAACAGTTTTTACCTTGTATTTAGTTCTGTAAATATGGGAAGCAACTGCATGAGAAAGGAGGACATTGTGGGAGACGATGTAAGGTTCTGTTGTAGAGTTGCCTGCACTACACAAGAAACGACCCAAAATCGAGCATCTCCCAGGTGCCGTAAACCCTAAATCATAACCTTGTATAGCAAACGTATGAGGCTCATTGAATGTGATCCAGTACTTCACTCTATCTCCAAACTTTTGAAAACATGTTTCGGCATACACTGCAAAGTCCTGTCTGTAACTAATGATACTTGCGTAAGTAATTCATTCATCAATTTCAGAAGTTATATAATAAGTTAGAAATGGTGAGCTTTGATTCACATTATTTGTGGGTTAAGCCATCCATTGTATCTATCTTCAAGTGCTTGAGGGAGGTCCCAATGATAAAGCGTCACATATGGTTCGATTCCTGCGTTTCTACAAGCATTATTTAACGTAGGTACTTATGATCGAAAAAAATATATATATAATTTTATATTATTGATAGTCTTAAAGTTTTTTTTTTATTAAAAAATTTATATATTTTATTAATTATGGGACGTACGCGCATCAATAATAACAAAATTTTAAAAATAAAAAATACGAACGGTACAAAGTTTTAATAAGAATACATAAAATCACAGCCTATGACTCGAACCCCATGCACTTTGGAGGTTAATTACCTTGGGCAAGTAAAGCATTGATAACACTGTTGTAGTGATCAACCCCTGCTTGATTAACATCCCCTGTTCCATCTGAACAATTTTATAATTTTATAATTCTCTTGTGCAATGGGAATTATAAAATTAAATAATATCTGCATATATGCTACTATAAAGAAAATACTCACTAGGAAAAATTCGAGACCAAGCAATTGAAAATCTGTAAGCATCCATTCCCATGTCCTTCATTAGTTGTGTATCTTCCTGTTTTCACAGAGACACAATATTATATTATAGAAGAAGATAGTAATTTAATTGTAAGCTTACTTTGTAGAGGTGATAATGATCCACTGCAACATCAGCATTGCTACCGTCCAATATTCTGCCTGCAGCACCATTGAAAGCTTTTCTTGGTTTAATTATCGGATTATAAAGAGATACTCAAAATTCATTTTTTTTTTTTTTTTTAAAATAAAAAAATAAAAAAAGGTTTCAGTAAAAAAATATTTAAATATTTGAAGAGGAATTTAAGTAAAAGTAAAAAGTAAAAAAAGAAAGCACCAGAATGTGAAAAAGTGTCCCAAATAGTTGGTCCTCTTCCATCCTCTTTCACTGCTCCTTCGTACTGAACAAATAAAAATAATCTTTATGATTAGTGAAAGAAAATAATATGTAAAATATATATATAATAAAATTAGACTGATGGATGGATGGAGAGAAAATGAATGAAATGAACCTGGAAAGCAGAAGAAGCAGTTCCAAATACAAAACCCTTGGGAAAATTTGCTCTGTTAATCTGAGAATTGCAGGGTCCGATGCCAATAAACCCTAATAATACCAACACTACCATCCAACCCTTTTTAACCACCATAATTAACTTCATTTCTCAACAACTCCTCCCTGCTCTTTCATATTTGTAGCTGTTGATATCATCTATGGTTAACTACTTACCTTGAAATCATCTGCCACATACATACTCTTGTTCCTGCTTTAATATATTTATGTATACCCATAATATTTTTGCTTTTAGTTTTCTTGGTTTTCCCAATTTCTTGAGGACTTGTCTTGTTCTTCTTTTTTTCTTTTTCCCAATGAAGTACTTTCTTCATTATATAAAAAGTTTATTGAATTGGTTTTTTCTTTGATATTTTTATCCAATCAGAATGGGTGAAATTGGATTCTAAAATAATATTCTTGTGCCATATATATATAGATAAAACAAAAATATACATGGTGTTAGGCACTTGTTCTGTAATGTTTACTTAAATTTTAATTATGATTTAATATTATTATTATTATTATTAAATGAAAATTAAAATAACGTATGGAAATTATATGTTAAAAATATAAGTAAATTACTACTCAGTAAGCGCATTAACCACCAAACCGAAGTCTTTTAATTCAAGAAAAGACTGAAATGGAGGAGGATGAACCCCCGCTCGCTGTTCAAATTGAACCCAACACCCCTCACCGGCTATCCGAATCCAAGCTACCTGAAGACGACGTCGTCTCCGTCGGTGTAACCATCATCACAGGCTACCTCGGCGCCGGAAAATCTACTGTACTCATCTTTCTTTCCCCTCATTTTCCTCTTAATACCTAACTTGTAAAGATCGCTAACTGAGAATGCGATTACTCATTTTTACTTCAGCTCGTTAATCACATATTGAATGGACAACATGGGAAGAGGATTGCCGTGATACTGAACGAGTTTGGCGAGGAAATTGGAGTTGAAAGGGCAATGATAAACGAAGGAGAAGGTGGTGCCCTTGTAGAAGAATGGGTCGAGCTTGCTAACGGATGCATTTGTTGCACTGTTAAACATAGTTTAGTTCAAGCCCTTGAGCAACTCGTCCAAAGAAAAGAAAGGTGGTGTTTCTTTTTTCGTGTTTCAATCATCGCTAGAAAAGAATTGAGTATTACAAATTCTTTATTTTATGGTTAGGAGGTAGCTAGAAATATACACTGATAAATTAGTGTGATCATTATTAGTAAAAAGATTGACAAATAAATTCTGCTACTAGAATTTCTTTTACTGTTTGATGGTTCTTTTGCGTAACTATATCTAATGGCATCCATTGACACTTATAAACTTTGAATTGTTGTGTCGTATTGTTGTATACAGACTCGATCATATATTGTTAGAGACCACAGGGTTAGCCAATCCTGCACCCCTTGCATCTATTCTCTGGTTGGATGATCAGTTGGAGTCTGCAATCAAGCTTGATTCTATAATCACTGTAAGTACATTTTTTAAGAGTAATCACTGTAAGTATATGGGTGATAGTATGGTTACAGATGGATAGTTGCTTAGTGATCTAGACTTTATAGTGATCTAGACTTTAGATTGCCATTTAATTTATATCTTATCCTTCCTGAGGTTCAATAGACTAGCAAAGCTGCGTTGATTAGCTTTTCACTTAAGTTTGAGGAAGAGAATATTGAGATTTTCTGGTATTCTTATATTATAAAAGTCTACTTGATTACACTTTTGCCTTTTTGGATTCTACGTAAAACTTTGAGGGATCGAGCTGTGTTCACGTCAATGTTTTAGTTTACCAATCTCTCTATATTAGATATACATGTTTAAATTGCATAAGAAGTTAGTTTAATGATGTGATGCTTTTGCCTTGATTCTTCTCCTTTTTCATCGTTAAGTTACTTGTTGCTCTCTGAAGTACCGCTGCTTCTACCTAGATGTTCTTTTTTAGAGTATTTTTTTTTCAAAAAAAAAAAAAAAACTAAGTTCCCTTTTTAATAGGTCGTGGATGCCAAAAACCTCCATTTTCAGCTGAACAGTCATCGAAAGTCATCTTCGTTTCCAGAGGCATTTCTTCAAATTGCATTTGCGGTAATTCTCATGCTTTGTTGTCTTACATTGTTTGTCTAGCACAACCAAAAGCTCCTTTTCAAATTTCAGCTTTATTTTTATCTTTTTTTTTTTTATTTTTTAAAAAATTCTTTTAGCCTTAGTTTCCTTTTGGAGCTTTTCTAAGAAACAATTTTTTCATCGCATATATTTTGTGGAATAAACAATGAGAGATTTACAAGTTTGTCTCTCTATAGGATGTTGTAGTACTTAACAAGGTTGATTTGGTTTCTCCGGAAGATTCTGGAGTTTCTATTGAAGAACTGGAGAAGGAAATACACAGCATTAACTCACTTGCCAATATCATTCGTTCTGTTCGGTGTCAAGTGGATTTGTCCAAGATATTGAACTGCCACAGTTATGATGTTACAGTTAGTCTCAGAAACTTCTACTTGCTAGCATCGGTACATTCTGTGGGTTAATTCTAATCTTCATTTAACTGATATCGCTCAATTTTCCCTCTAATTGGTCCAGCATGAAACACATTTGGAAGCCCTGCTAGAAGAAAATCAAGCCCTAAATTCCAGGGATCTTCATGATACTGGAGTCAGGACCTTGTGTATTCATGAACCACAAGCTGTTGATCTTGACAAGGTACCTCTGTGAATTGGCTTATGCAAATCATGATTGACTAGGTTGATGTTATCTGTTACTGTTTAGTCCCATCTCAATAACTTGTGAGCTTTGAGAAGGATGTTATAATTATCTTCAATCACATGCGTGATTAAGCACATGGGCCTTTCAAACTTTATCTTTGTCTATTTTACATAAGATTTTTTAGCTATTTTTTTCCCAACATTAGTTAAACTTTCCTTTTTTTCTGTTTATTTATTTCTTGTGGGGATATTTAATCCTCCTTTTTTATACTTTTCTTCCACCTTCTTCCTTTAATAAGATTCTTTTCTATATAAAAAAGACATGTAATTAGGCAGCTTATATGTCTTGCATCTGAAAATCAATTAATTTGTGCTAATTTGTTCCTCTGCTTTCACTGCCTTGATGTCTTCAATGATATATGTAGGACTAATTTTTGGGCAGTAGTAAAGCTGCTCTGTTGCAGCCATGACTGGAACTGGATCATTCCTGTGGTGATGACAATAACTCATCTTGATTCAAAGCCCTGGTCGTGCTATTCAGTACCAGGCTCTATGTAAATGAACTCTGCATTAGACATATTGCTATAGCTCATACTATGAGACACACATCTTAAAAAACTTAAATCCCCCTTATATTAAAACTTTACTGGCAGAAATATGAACTTGAAGGTTTTCTCCCTGGACTCAATTACAAAAGCTGGTAGTGAATTTTATGGCATGTGATTTTTTACTGCGGTAAAATGCTTTTTTTTTAATTTTATTTTCATTTATTACTTCAAATGGAATTTGCTCAGATATAATCTAATTACCACTTTCTCATATCTAAAGTTCTAACCCAAAGCTACAAATTTGTCTATATATCCTTATAAATCAAACTTCTTCAGTTTGAATTTTAAGATTTATATAAGATACTGCAGTAGCAGTAGATTCAGTCTTAAGATTATTATAAGTACATGACTTTAAAGTAGCCCTTGAGATGTTATTTCATAATGTAATGGGTGATCGATGACTATAATATAGGTTAGACAGCTAAGATTCTCATGTCCGCTTTACTTCACATGTATTCTGCTTGCTCATATTTGTGCTTCCAAAGGTTCGTTCATGGCTAGAGGAGATTCTTTGGGAGAAAAAATATAAAATGGATGTTTACCGCTGCAAAGGAGTGTTAAGAGTTCAAAATTCAGATCAATTACATACTTTGCAGGTGAGTTTTAGTATCAAATGTAATAGAATTACTCTCTTTCTATATCCTTTACCCACTTACACTCTCTCTAATGGTAGTGACAACAAAGTTATCTGTAGTTCTCTCGCTCAAGATATGTTGCTAAGATTGACGTGTGGATTGACTGAAATTTCTTATTCTACCTTTCATATTACTTTACTTTCTTATTTCATCCCTTTTTTGATCAGTGAGTGCCTGGTTGAAGTTCCAAATACTCTTTTTTCCATTTAGACTGGCTTGCATTTACTTTTCTGTACAAACTTGAGCATGCCTTATGGGACATGAAGCACAGGCCTTGCCTTCTTCATCCTATTTGGCGTTTACTTCTGCCAGGAATAGATATTTTTAACTTCTTAGCAATGCCAACCAACCTGTTTCTTATATCACAGTTTTGTTCCTAAACTTAATACATGCTTGGGTGTTGGGAGCTCATAAATGTGAGGTTAAGGTCAAAATGCTGTAGGTGTCAATGCCTATTTGACATCCTTTTAAAAATATATGAATATATTTTCTGCTGTTATGAACTCAAACCTCGTTTAATACCCCTAGTCACGTGCTGGGTGTTGGGAACTTATTGAATGTGAGGTTTGAAGTCAAATTGCTATTGTTGTCAACCCCGTTTTGACATCTTTTACAAAATATATGCGTATATATTTTCTGCTGTTATGAACTCAAAGTTCATTTGACAAGGTATCATAAATAAAAATTTTGTGTTATGATTTAGCATTTCTTTACTCTTGAAACTCTTGGCAGGCTGTGAGGGAGATATATGAGATTGTTCCAGCTCGCGAGTGGACTAAAGAAGAAAGTCGAATTAACAAAATTGTGTTTATAGGTAATACTCTTAACATTCTACCAAATTTACAGTGGAATTTTGCTAAAGAATATTTTTTGAGCGTCTTGTATTAAATTCTATATAACATATTTATTTGCTTTCTAACTGGTGTTGGTGCAGGTCATAATCTGGAGGAAGATATTCTTACTGAATCCTTTAGAGGCTGCACATTGGCAACCTCCTGATGCTAATCTGCAACCACAAGCAGTGTGGGGTCTTCTGCAAACTCTGATTCCCAATTAAAGATCTTAGGAAGAAACAGAATATATTGAATGGATAATAGAGGTTGTTTTTTCTCTGAATTCTTGTAGTTTTATGTCAGATAGAATTTGGTAATATAGAAAATGCCCTTGGCTGCTGATAACTCTTTCTTTCTGTTGGTTGAGTTTGATTGTTAAATTCTCAAAATAAAAAAAAAAAAAAAAGAAAGAAAAATGAAACATGTAGAGTGCATTTGAAGAAAGAAAAAGAGGAGAATGAAAGCTAGCGAGCCGGGCTGACACGAGTGAAAACTCCGGCAGTTCGAGGGTCTGAGGCCCTTGCTGGAGGTGGACATGAAGATGATTTTTTCTGTTGGGTTTTTTGTTTGTTGGAATCTCCCTTAGCCTGTTTGCTTTCTCTTTTTCCATTTATATCCAAAAGACAATTGCCTAGTGGTGTTGGTTTTTGTTGTTATTCTTTGTTCAGACATTTCTGGATTTAGTTTTCGAAATTTCTACGTATATAATCGTGGAGATATATATATATATGATATTATATGTAATTCATACAGACGATTTGATCTGGTGGGTTTTGGTTTGCTCTCTCCTTTTTCTACTTGTATCTGAAAGAAAAAGGAAAGATTGAAGACCGAGCGCCTAGTGTTGTTATTTTCTGTTTGGATATATTTCTGATTTCAGTTCTTGAAATGGACGTGACATATATAATCATTTATGTTGAGACGATTTGATGTGATCTGGTTGGTTTTTGTATTGGCTGCTATGCTCTCTCTCCTTTCCACTTGTATCCAGAAAAGAAAAAAGTGTTTGTATTTGCTGTTAATGTTTTGTTTACGCATATTTATGTTTTATGATGTCATTTAAATTATTTAAATGAAAACAATTTTATGTTCTTCTTAAGCTTTTTAAAATTAATTTCAAAACTCCACATAAAACAGAAAATAATTTCTATTAGTTATTGTTAAAATTTTTGTAGTTGCATAAAATAATCACGAATTGATTACAAATTCAAAACAACCTCGCAATGACCCAAAAATTTTAATTTTAATATGATGAATAATTTATGTACTAAAACAGCAATTGGTGTTCATTTTTATTCCCCCAAAATGAGTAGGTTCCTAGCCGAAAGAAACACGGTCATTATAAACGCTCGAACAGCATCAGAGTCAAGTTGGCGCGATTCATGTTTTTAGAAAAAAAAAAAAAAAAAGGAGTTTGTAAGCCAAAAAACGACACCGCTTTTGTTTCCGGTGTCCCCGGGACCTCCTCTCTCGAACCCTGTCCCTCGCTCTGTTTCTCCGCTAGCTCTCCCAGTCGCCGTCATCTGGTGCCTCGTCATCACAGTACAGTTTAATAATAGTCTTAAGGAATTAGGGTTTACTAGAACTTAGATGTTGCGAATCTACTTTAGATTCCGCCACTTTGCTTTACCCTATCCTTCTTAACAATTTTTATTGCAGGCTGTATAAGTCCTCGAATTAGGCCGACCAGAGAAAGTTGTACATCAATCTGGTGTGTTTTCCCTTTATCAGATTTAATTATTGTTCGTTGCTAATTTTCATCTGACTTACGGATTCGACTAGATTATCCTTTTTGATACTCAGGGTTCTTTTTTTTTTTTTTTTTTTTTTGTTTTTCTCACATTATTGTTTCAGATCATTTCATGAAAATCGTCTTGATTTTTGTTTGCGCTGTTAGCTTTGCTCAAAGATTCTTTGAGAAACATCATCGGGATTACATGGATCGTTTTTATAGTGAAGCCTATTATCTCTGTCATTCTATTTGGCTATTTAAATTTGGTAAACTGGGTGGGGAATTAGTTTTTTTGAAGAAGTAGTAGTTTTTGGTTTTAATTCAAGAGAATTTTGTTTTTGGAGTGCAATCCACGAGCTTCTTTGATATAGATTGTAACCTTATAGTACTATCTTCTTCTAAGCGATCCCTCTTCGCATAACAGTTAAACTACGACAGACCAGTGCTGTAGCTTGGTGAGCTTATCTGTAGTCCTTTGTGTTTACACTCGTAGTATAGATACTTTTATATGCACAGTGCGTGCTTTTTGTTTTGTTTTCTGGTTAGTGGTTGTTTGCGTTCGAGGTGGAAATTATTTTCATCATGAAACAGGTGATTGGACAAAGAATTCTCCATTTTCTTCCCCCCTCCCCCAAAGAAAGAAAGTTGTTTCAGCATTATCATTTTATCACAAATCTTTTTTCTCACTTGCCATTTGACATAGGTGGGAATTGTCTATAAATCACAGAACACTTTTTCTGCATTATAGTTCCATATCCTGGTTTTTTCTTTTTTGGTTTAAAGGTTACGGTCGCATCTTATGAGGAGTTTGGAGCTGATATTTTGTTGATTTTAAAGTTCTTATAAACTGGTTTGCTCCCTCTCCGTGCCTTGTTTATACAATTTATACATTTTTCTTCCGAGAAAAAGGAAGAATAATCAAGCTATGGACCTGACCTGATGCAATGCCTTACATTTTGACCAGTGACTTTTAAAAGAATATCTGGCTGCCTTCATATCCAAAGCCAGTATTTAAGGGAATGGCATTGGTTGTGATTTGTGGACAACCATGCAGTGGGAAGTCAACTGCTGGACGATGTCTTGCAGAAGCTCTGAATGAATCAGGATTGAGACAGGCAGCCAGGATCATTGATGAAGCATCCTTTCACCTTGATCGCAACCAGAACTATGCCAATATGACTGCAGAGAAGAATTTAAGAGGAGTCCTACGGTCTGAAGTTGATAGATCCGTGTCGAAAGACAATATACTCATAGTAGATTCTTTGAACAGTATCAAGGGTTACAGATATGAGTTATGGTGTCTGGCTCGTGCTGCTGGAATAAGATACTGTGTGCTGTACTGTGATGTTGACGACATTCATTGCAGAAAATGGAATGAAGAACGCAGGGTGAAGGGAGAAGCTGCATATGATGATACAATATTTGATGATTTAGTAAGAAGGTTTGAGAAACCAGATAGAAGAAATCGCTGGGATTCCCCTTTGTTTGAGTTGTGGCCTCATAAAGATGGCTTAGATAAATCTTCTGCTGCCATTTTAGATGCTGTTTCCTATTTGACAAAAAGAGCTGACTCAAAAACACGAGATGTCAAAATCTTGCAGCCAACAATTGCGACACAAAATACACGATTTTCAGAAGCGAATTCTTTGTATGAGTTGGACAGGGCAACCCAGGAGGTGATTAATGCCATTGTGGAGGCACAATCCCAGGCATTTGGAGGGCCTCTTAATGGTATTTCTCTAGGACAGGGTTTACCATCTATCAACATTTCAAGATCAGTTGGGTTGCCAGAGCTACGCAGGCTGCGGCGTACCTTCATTAAATTGACAGGACAAACAAGCTTGAGTGGACCACCGCCACCATCTGATGCTGACAGTGCGAAGAGAAGGTTCGTGGACTACTTAAATAGAGAATTAGGAGCTGCTGCTTGAACTGGGAAGATATATTATACTTTTTGTACTTCAACGGCCTATTTAATTTGTAGACTGACATTCAGGTTGTGTCAAAGTTTTGGCTTTGTACTAATAAACATAAATCTGCATTGGTTATCAAGTGTAGGAATTTGCAATGTACTATTCATCAGAATTTGCCTCAAATCTCTCTCTTTTTTTTTTTTTTTTCTCAACAAAAAGTTCACTAATAGAATTTTCATGAGCAGCAGATCTCATTGTTGTAGTACTCTCCATTCCATGCTTGGTCTATAAGAGTCTCCTCAGTGACAGCAGAATGAAATGCCACATTGGAGGAAAGAAGGCCTAGTCTTGAAATGGCAAAATTGGGGAATGAAACTGAGCCAATCTTAGGTTCTGGATGAAGTTTCTGTGTGTGTGTACCAAGTCATTTCTGGTCAATGAGGAACCGTTTTCCGCGTTTGAATTTGCAGATTTGAAAAGAAAAAGCTTCTTCCAAGCCTGTAATTGTCTTAAAACAGCAGCAATTTCATTCTATTGGGTGAATTTGTCAGGTGAGACTTTTAAAAATCTGCGCAAGACAATCTGGTTTCTCTCTCCAGTGAGCCCAGCTCATTCTCCATTACTGCCATTTCGGAATGTAGAGCTGGCAAATCTAGAATTCTCTGATTCCATTTAATCATACAGGTTGGCTTTAAGAAGTGGTTCAAGCTAGACCACCAAAACAAAACCAACCCATTATATTAATATCTATTAGAATGAACAGATTCCCAAATTTCATAATTTGAATTCCAACCAGTCAACCCAATTCAGTTAATTTCGAGTTTGGTAACATTTATTCTCTCTTTGACATGATTGTTTTAA